TTTCCAATCAGTCTGTTAGTTTTCAGATTTGTTTGATCCGATCCTTCATCTGTGAACTTGTTTGTGATTTAGTTCAATTTAGTCCTAGATCTCTACTTGTACAAAATTTGGCCCACACCTTTACAAAAATCATGCATTTTAGTTCTGAATTTCTGTTTCATTTCCAATCAGTCTGCCAGTTTTCAAATTTGTTCGATTTGATCCTTCATCTTTGAACTTGTCTCAATTGATGCATGCTTGTTTCCTTTTACTCTAAGTCCAAAACTTTAAAGGTTCCAAACTCATCCGTTTACTTTTCAATTTCATTCAATCATAATCCAAAATAAGAACACTACTAGTGTTTCAAACGTATCAAAGAGGAAAAAAATTATATATTAGATTAGAAATAATAATATATACTCTATATGAAACAATAAGTTTGAAAGCTTAAAAATTTTGAATTCTATATTCAATTAATTAGATTATATATCATAACCTCATATGGCTAAATTTATTAATACTGAGAAAAAAGAAAATCAAATATTTCATGATAAATATAAGAGTATTTGATATTATTAAGCAAAATCCAAGGATAATAAAAAACTTATTTAATGAAATAAAATCTCAATATATGATCTTCTTTGGATGTTGAGTTTCTTGTTGTCTCTCTCTTAATCTTTAAAAGCTCCAAAATTTTGGTTTTCAATGAGTATTCATAGAAATTAAGAAAACCTTACTAAGAAAAAAATAGATCCATGTCAAAACTAGAAACTTTTAAATAAAATTATTAAAAATTACTTAGAGTATCAACACCATGACGTAGATATGTACACTTGCTTTGAATTTTACCAGACATGGATTGCCCAAAGTCTTAATGGATAGCATTGACACCTGCAGTGGTGGTGTCGACGCCCAACCACGTTAGCTTTTTTGATCTTTTCGCTATTTCTTCAATGGTAAAATAGCACATTTGGTCTTTCAGCTCCTACTTTATGAGCACTTCGAATCTATAACTTCAAACTCATTCATTTAGGTCCCTAATTGCAACTTTTCCTTTTGTAAATAGTCTCTCATTTTTCAAAATATTTTCACCTAAGTTGCAAGACTTCCATTCAAGTCATTTTCTACTTAAAGATAGAAAACTATGTAAAATCCATAAAAATCACATTTTACCCTTCCAAATAACAATAAAATCAAAGTTAAAATGAGACATTAAAACATATAAAATGCATCTCATTAAAACTTGTTAATGTAATTAGGAAGACATATTAGGAATCTTAAGTAACAAGTTTCAGACACTTTTGACTCTTTATTTTGTAATACACATTGAGTGTATCTTTGTAATGCATGTGGAATTTAAGTTGTTTAGTGCATGTTGACTCTTTAGAACATTGCTATTTTACCAGCACTTCAACTTTGAAACATGTGACTTTGCTTTGAGCTTCACAAGGATCAAGAATTAACAGTGTGTGAAACTATGGTGACAAATTCAAAAGCAAGCATCAAGCAAACAAAGGGGCTAATAATTAGTAATCTTTACTTATTTTCCTCTTCATCTTTTATATATTATATAAATTTAAGTAGCAAATTCTTATCATAGCTTCAAGGAGCTAGGTCTTCAAAAAGTGTCATTCTCCATTTCTTACTCAACCTGGAGTGACAAGAATGGCATATGAATTAATTTCTACTAATCAAGAGAAGCCTAGTATTGATGAACTAGTTGATAAGATCAAAAATATTGTGTAGAAGTTGGTTGCCACCCTACAAGCCATAAATATCAGTCAAACCAAGTTAGCTACATTGCAAAACATGGCTCATGCTATTCCTCTTTTGGGTTTGACTACGCATATTCCTAGTCTTTTGCCCATTAGCACAATAGTGAATACATCAATCAACCATGCTAAGACACCTATGTCCTCATCACTAAATCTTCTACCTATATTTGAGGACTAGCCTATTGTTGGATAGCCGTCCATGAATATCATTGAGAATACAAATGTGTCAACTAATTTTCCACCATCCTTACTTGAAATGGCTAATAATTAGAAGAAACCTGCAATGTCTGTGTCTACCCTATTTACCTTCACCATGTCACCTTTACTTAGACAACTACCAAATTCAATCTAATTTCTCCTTACTTATTGTTGAGGATGAGAAGTTTAAAGAGGTTGATAATTGATTCTAAGTTACAGTAACTATCAAAGCAATGCAAGGACCACAATCATATGGTTCCATGGACATTGATAATCTTTGGTATTATCTTGGGATCTAGACTAATTTCAAGTTCAAGTAGCCAGATTTTAACAAGTATGATGGTATTAGGTGTTCGTATGTGCATTTACAAATGTATGCAAGGAAGATTACTCTATATGTCAATGACCAAATGGTTCTTATTCATTACTTTCTAGACAATATTTTTTAGGTTAATGGGTGTCTAGTTTTCGACACTTGATAAGAAGAGGATCTACACTTTCAAAGATGTCCCTTGAGCTTTTAAGAAAAAGTATGATTTTAACATGAGTTTGGCCCTCCACAAGTGACATCTTATAGAAGATCTCTAAGAAAAATGATAAGTCGTTTAAGGAATATGTGCCTCGTTGGAGGTTAGAGGAGGGAGGTAAAAGTAATTGAAAATTGAAGAAGAGGAAGGACAACAATATAATTTGGCAGAGTATTTGTAAGTATAAGAAGGAAAATGAATGAAAATTGAAAATAGAGGGACTATAGTTGGCTTTAACCTTGATTTTATCGGATGAATTAAAAAAATTCAAATCTTACCAAATATATATATATATATATATATATTTTTGGTTTGTAAAAACGCTTTCATTAGACGAGAGTGGAACCCTACTTACCACTTCACTCCTCTCTTGTTCCCATTTTCCCTTATTCCTTCTCTTTTGATTCTTTATTTCTCTATTCTTTCTTTTTTTTTTTAATGATTTTATTTTATTTTGGGGGTTTTTTTCCAAGGGTTCTTGCCTCCTCTTAAGGCTAGTTTATATGGGAGTTCATCCCATTACTCATAATTCATGTAGATTTTATCATTATTTATATCTTTTTTATTATTAAAGGTTCAATAGATAGTTGGTGTGTGCTGTTTGTTTATACTTTTAACAATGATCTATTTCAATAATTACCTTTTTATTTTGATCTTGGTAAATTATGCTGACTTGTGACTTTAATGTTAGACCAAGATCCAGTTTTGGTTATAATATCCATTTAACCATTACATTGCTCTATTATTATATATTTAACTAAGTGTTTTAGATTTTAGAGTTAGATATTGTAATGCTATTGGTAGATTATACTAACTTGTGACTTTAATGTCAGATCAAGATCCAGATTTGGTTATAATATATCCATTTAATCATTACATTGCTCTATTATTATATATTTAACTAAGTGTTTTAGATTTTATAGTTAGATATTGTAGTGCTGTTAGTGCACTATATTGTATAAATTAACTTATAACTCTTATGATTTTTTATTATTGATGAATAAATTTATTTTTTTAAATACTTAGTCTATTGGTATTACGTTTAGTAAAGTTTTTGAGTTAAAAACATGTTACTTCTATTTTAAATTTTTCATAAGAACTAAAATTTCAAATATGTAAAATTAAGAAATACGAAAAAAAAGTTTACTGTAACAAATGTGTAATGCTATCACGTGAGACAATCCGAACTCCAGAAAGTTAAAACCCCAGACTCAACATGGTATGGTATTACCTTCTTTTTTTAAAAAAAAAACACACAAGGGATCTCGACGCAATCTGGAAGATGTAGGTTATTCTCCAAGGAAAAATTGCGTAGTCCAAAGTCTATAGCAAATGGGGAATGGGCCTCTGGGGTCCTCTTAATCTAATGGGCCTTACTTTATTGTACGAACTCTGTTATCTCGCAAGACTCTCTTTTTTTTAAGAATAATGATGAGAAGACGAAAATAAGGGACGATTTCGGAGGATGAAAATGAGGTGGCATGCCACCTCAGCATATATTTTAATAAATATTAAAAAGGGTTTAACGTTCATCTCCTTCCCACATTCTTCCTATTTTCTCTGCAATTTTTTCTGTTACAGTTTCATCCAAATCCAAGCTCTCTCTTCCAAATCTTCATCATTTGTCTCTATTTTCCTCATCCCCTTGCAAAGACTAAGTATAGATTTAAGGTTTTTCCTAAATAGGGTTCAATTTTACCAAATGGTTTAAGGTTTTTCTTAAATAGGGTTCAATTTTACCAAATGGTTAGGGTTTAGTTTTTAAGTTTTAGGTTGTGGGATGCGACGGGGCAACGGAACTTGATCATAAATTTCTCAGTTAGAGTAAAGGGGTCGGAAAGGGAGTATTTATCGGCGGCGTCGCCAGCAGTGACGGCGGGGATGAGAAAATTTCAAATTGCTAGGATGGAGAATTTCGGTGGGGTTGTTACAGGGATTCCACACAATGGAGGAGCTTGCCACATCATTTCTAAAAATTCGTTCCTTTTATTTGTCCTGTGTATCATTGTCTTTTTTATTTTAAACGAAAGGAAATTAATATATGTTAATTAAAATAGAAATTAGAAAAAGAGATTTGTAAGTGATATGCATTAATTTAGGATTTAACTCACTAAGCTACAGTCGTGAGGATCTGTTACAATACATATTCTCCAAAAAGACAAAAGGGAAATCAAGCTAGTTTGGTTAACTGCAAAGAATTACAGTACTCGTTTGAACATTTAATCTAGGCATTTAAAATTAGTTGAGCAAGTTATTGTTGGTTTAGATTTCCTTCGCATTAACATTACGAAAAATTTCCTTTTACTTTTTTTACTTTTTATTTTTTTTAACATAAAAAATTATAAGAAAATAATTTTTTTTAAATAATTAATGACGTCAAGCTCCTGAACAACTAACCAAACACTATAACATGAGGCGAACCACCGCTGAAGGCCCGGTCCATTTTTACATTTTTTATTTAACTGCTTACTGCTATACTACCGTCCATCCATGTTGCGAATGAAATGAAGTGCAGAAGCCAGAAAGACAAAAATGCAAGGGGGTGGGAAACGAGACGAGACTAGGAGAAAGCCAAAGTCACCGCAAGTGGAGAACGCTTGTCGCTTTCAGCAAAGTAAAAGCAACTTCCTAGAAGCACCCATCACCCATTTTGATTTTTGAGTCTCCTTCTCCGCCCACAGAGACAACTCCTTTTCCACCATCTTCTCTCCCCCCAAACAAAAATGTTGCACGAACTCCACCATTCTTATCAGGGTATAAGACTATAAGTTTACACTTACTTTTTCACTTACACTCTCACTTTGTTATATTTTCTCTGGACTGCTATAATTTAGTTAACTTGGCAGCTTTTTCCAGCCTGGTTCCTGGCTGAATCTATTTTCTTTTTGGTTGAGACTGGTTATAGATTCCCATTGTGCCTGTTTATCTTTTTTTTTCTTCCCCTTGCAATTTTCATGTTAATTGTCTTCTTGATGAATGGAGATTCCATATGTTTGTCATTTGCTGCATAATGAAGCAAGAATTTCCTAATTTTAGATTTACGGATTTGGAAACCTGCGGAGGTAGACTGCTACAGTGATAATTTCTTTTGGTTGTAGGTTAATTAGAGGTATGCGTTGTTAGCTTAACTTTTTGGGCGGCTGCATTTTGGAGAAAGAACTCGGATTAGCATTTAAGCAAAAAGAACACTTACATCTCTTTGGTTTTTCAGACCTGGAGTGGAGATAGGACAGTTTTATCCCATTAGTTCATGAGGTAGACCATAATAAGTAAAAGCATATAATGCTTATCATTTTTAACCCCCAATACATTATAGATTTGAAAAATTCATCACTGTTTGAACTCTTGGGATTTCATGCTTGCATTTGCTGAATAACAATGCATCCAACCCATCATGACTTTAATTCAATCCTCTTACTTGCATGGACATTATTGATGGTTGCTTCTTATGATCCTGAATTAGTTTCTTAATTTGAATTTTTTTTTGGATGATTTGCAATCCTTTTGTTTTTCTTTCTTAATTCTTACTCCATTACTCTACATTTTTCTTTTGCGATAATGTTTCAACTACCATCTAACATTCAATCTGTTGCCATGTAAGAGTTGGACATAAGAAACTTCTGTTCAGATCTTCAGTTGTTTAAAATGTTAGTCATCTAATTGTTGGATTTGCTTTCTTTATCCCTTTTTTAGGAAGGGACCCAAGAGATATGGAGACCCAGAATGGGAGGTTAGCCTTCCCTTTTGTGTAGTCTTCTCCTCTGGCAGCTCAGAAGTTGGTTCTTCCTTTTGAAAGTTAAAGAGATACTCAAGCATTAGTTATCTCAAAAACTATGGAGTGTATCTGTAAGACTGCAACTTTGGTGCTCCACATGGTGTTTTTATCTTAGGTTAGAAGCCTTCCTTATTTGGTGCAGTCACATACATCTGTATTGAATCATGTCCATTTTTTTTTTTTTTTATCAATCTTGTAGAATATATATAGATTATAGAGCTGATGGGTGGGACACTTTCAAAACGATCAATCACACGGCAGTGGTCATCAGTATCATCTAGTTCATATTCATGGGGTCATAATAGTTATGCACAGTCACCGTATGCTCAACCCAACGAAGAGTATGAACCACAGCAGAGTTATGCCCCTAGACCTCAAAGCCACAGCAGTTTGGCACCTGAGTCAAGAAGGAAGTTGGAAAGAAAGTATTCAAAGATAAATGATGATTACCGTAGCTTGGAACAGGTAATCTAACAGTTTGGTTTCTCAATGGATGAAATTTTGTAGCCTTAACATGTTTAAACAGTCCTTCAGGCACACCACCATGCATGATTACTTTACAATGTGCTCAGAGAAACTTGTTTTAATAAATTAGAAATTGCTCAAATTTCCCATTGCTGGATATAAGATTTTATCTTGATGACATAATTGATGAGTTCAAAACAATTGCAGTATTCTTGATCTAGCTACATTTCTTTTTAGGCTTCATAAACTAGTTAAATACTAGCTTTCATAATTTCAATGAGTTGTACAGCTTATAGTGATTTCATTTTATTATTTCTCTAGTATGGTGGCAATGTTCAATACTCTTCTCCCTGCAGGTCACCGATGCCCTGGCCCATGCTGGCATGGAGTCTTCAAATCTTATTGTTGGTATTGATTTCACAAAGAGCAATGAGTGGACAGGTTTGACCTTGACTTAGTGCATTGAAGTGCCTCTTTACAATTAACAATTAACTTGTTTAACCTCTTTGAGATTAGGTGCAAGATCATTCCAACGGAAATGCCTACATTACATTGGAGACAATCAGAATCCCTATGAGCAAGCAATATCCATCATTGGCAAGACATTGTCTTCCTTTGACGAGGATAATTTAATTCCTTGTTTTGGATTCGGAGATGGTAATTCTCTAAAACATTTGTTGCTTCAGTTTTCCTGAGTCCCATTTCATCCTCCTGATAACTGAGATTGTATGCCATTCTTTGAAATGACAGCATCAACACATGATCAGGAAGTATTTAGCTTTTTTCCGGATGAGAGGTTTTGCAATGGATTTGAAGAAGTTTTGAGCCGATACAGAGAATTGGTGCCTAATTTAAGACTTGCAGGTTTGGATTTTAGCCAACCATTTTTATATTTATTCTTAGGTTTGTTCCTCTGCTTTTGTTAATATCTTTTTCTTTTTCTTTTTTTTCTTCCCACACTTCCACTCTTCTTCTATTTGACAGGACCAACATCATTTGCCCCTATCATTGAAATGGCTATTACTATCGTGGAGCAAAGTGGTGGTCAGTACCATGTATTACTGATAATAGCTGATGGGCAGGTACCTTTTCTTTGGTTTGCAGTAAAACTATAATTCATTTACCATTAAAAACTTCAAAATTCTTGTAGTTTCACATCGTTCTCCAAGTTAATGGGTGCAACACAAGACATTGGGTAGCCTTTGAGTTGGATGATAAAAAAAAATAAAAATAAAAATAAAAAGAAGAAAAATATTAGATTGAACTGAGCTCCATTTTGACTGGAGAGATTTAATACTGCAAAAGCTGTATTGCAATCTTTGACTGTGTTTCATGTTAACCAAAAACAGGTAACAAGAAGTGTTGACACTGATCATGGCCAGCTAAGTCCACAGGAAAAGGAAACAGTTGAAACAATTGTGAAAGCAAGGTAATTACTAGCTTTTTGTTTGGTTAGTAGGGCAATTAGTTGGTCATCTCTTGAATGATATTTTCTTTGCTAGAGCACTTCTAATATGCTAGTCAATAGCAGTGAGTATCCCTTGTCAATTATATTAGTTGGAGTTGGAGATGGTCCATGGGACATGATGAAAGAATTTGATGACAATATTCCTGCCCGTGCTTTTGATAATTTCCAGGTGATTGTTTTTGGTCTTTTCGTGTGTTGCTGAAGCTAGTAGCTCCTCACATGATTCCTGTTGCATTTTTAAGTTAAAATTGCTGCATTTGCAGTTTGTAAACTTTACAGAAATAATGTCAAAGAATATGGATAGATCCAGAAAAGAAGCTGAGTTTGCTCTTGCAGCCCTAATGGAAATACCTTCTCAGTATAAAGCAACACTGGAGCTTAACATATTGGGGTAACAGTTAATCCTGTCTTAGTAAGTTACTAGTCATTTTATCATAGTGGTGAGGGATAATTCTAATACACCTTGGTTTCCCATTTGATACATCAGTACTAGTAGAGGGAAGGCTATAGATAGGATCCCTCTTCCCCCTCCTCTCTATGGTGCAGCTTCTTTCAGCACTTCCAAGCCCTCAGGATCAAGTAGTTTTCTTCCAAGTGCACCTTCTTCTGGTAGACATAATACAGCTGTTGGCACAGCTCCTCCTGCAAGTTCTGCTACAGATAACCATGTATTTTCTTTTTTCCAACAACTATTATTAATTCAACTAATAAATTTAATTTTTTATTTCCAAGTAATTAATTGATAATGCAGGAAGCAGGATAGTCAACCAAAATAATGAATATTACCTTTGGTAGGAGATTGTAATAATATCCATAACATCTAAACATGATCCTGACAGGTTTGTCCGATTTGTCTTTGCAATCTGAAGGATATGGTCTTTGGTTGTGGACATCAGGTAACATAGCCAAGAATTTCATCACCATCATCATCTTTCTTCTTTGTTCTTTTCTTTACCTTTGGAGGATAAATAGATCATGTGTTTGACTTCTGTACATTTGCAGACTTGCTGTGATTGTGGACAAGGCCTTCAGTTGTGTCCCATATGCCGACGCACAATTGAGACCAAAATAAAGCTTTATTAATAAGTATTATCTTGTTTGAATTAATGTTCATTCTCTGCAGCCTTTTTAAGCTCCAAGAGTGCAACTTGTTCAGAAGTTAATTATTGAGTGAGGAATTTAAAGTCAGGGATCATCACCAGCAGTATCAGGTGTCTGTTCACTGAACTATCTATTTGTAATCTGCTAGAAAACAATTAAGACTTATCCTGTTGTACAAGGATACCATCCAGCAGTGACTAATGCTTATTTTCATCTTCTGAAATTTCACTCTGGAATCGAATAAAACGTAAAAGCTTTTGCTCATTGTTATGGTCATTGTTGTTTCATTTTTCAGTCTTGTTGATAAATGATAAGCCTTTTTTAGTCTCTGGATAGAGTACAAGATGCCCGATTTCTTTGATCCTAATCTTCCTATTATATTAGAGATCATATTAGAGATTGAACCACATGCAGCTGGACCATATATGTTTGTTCTGTTTTGTGGTCCTTGTTGTGGCACACAATGATTTGGACAAGCTTCATCTTTGCCTTATCTCTCTGCACAGAGAAACTATTTTTACTTTACCATAATCAACTACAATAGACAAGGTAATTCAATTAACTTGTTAATTTTAATTTTAAACAAAGTATTAAGCTTTCTATTTTAATTTTGTCCCTATTAAGATTTAAAATTAAGGAAATATACTTAATGAATCAATATATTAAAAATATATTTTGAACAATTTAATCAAAGTTAAATGTTTGGCTGTTTTGATTTTCACTTTTTTTTTTCCTTTTAAGATCTCACAGTTTGCCTTTAAAGACTAAATAATTACTCAATTCTTAAAAGGCACGTATCCCCAACTCCCTAACGCCCTTTATTGTCAGCATGACGAGGGGTGCTGCTCTAGGGACCGACTGTACCTAGGCCGAGAGAGGACCGTGGTCCCTAAAGCTTTGTGTTTGTTATTTTGAAATCTTCAACATTTTTATTTTTTATTTTTAAGTCCTTATTAATTTTTAGTTTTATATTTTAGTTCTAATTAGTTTTTTTCTTTTTCGGTTGCATAATGGGAGATAACCATTTTTCATCCCTTATCCCACCCCACTCACATGCCATGCGACTCGAACTCAGGATTTCTTACATCCAGTAGAAGAAGATGACCACTAAATTATTTAGATCGTTAGTAGTTCTAATTAGTTTTTAATTGGAAAGACAATCTTAAAAAGCATAAATTCTCTACCATAAACCTTCAATATTGAGCCCTAGAAATATAAACTTAAAAATTTTAAACTCTTAACACATTAAACACTGAATAATAAACCCAAAAAAAAAAAAAACAAATTAAATCATAACACAAAAATTAATCCCTACAACCTAACAAATCTAAATTCTACACAATACTCACATGGGGTTTTTTTTGTTAGTATTTCACATAGACTTTTAGACCTTTTTCACAGTACATCTTATCTAAAAATATAAAATAATTCTAATTACTTTTAAAATTTTTTATATACTTTTATTAATTTTAACTAATATTTTATACATTTTTTGGATAGTAAAAGACAAAAAAATTGTAGCCACACAACACAGTGCAGTATTAACAAACAAAGCCTTAATTTAAAAAAATCTAAACCCTAACAACCTAAAACTAAACAATAAAAATCATAAACCCTAACACCCTAAATATTAAATCCTAAAAAATCTAAACCTTAACTCTCAAAATACTAAACTCTAAAAAATCTAAACCTTAAACTCTAATTTCTATCAAACTAAATATGAACATTAAAAATCTAAACACAAATCCCCTAATTACTGAACCCTAAAAAATGTAAATCCTAACACTAAAAATAGTGAACCTAAAAAACAAATTTTAACCTTAAAACCCTAATTAGTAGGCCCTAAAAATATATTATTTATCTACTAAATTAAAATATTAATGTTTTATTAATTTTAGGATAATGATGTTGTTTTTAGAGGTTTAAAAGTTAAAATCTTACTCCTTTTGTAATTTTTAATAGACTTAATTTGACTTTTTAACTTTTCATATATGAATTTTAAATAAAAATTTAACATATTATATATATTATATAAATTATAATTGAAATTTTTTTTATGGAATTAAAGTACTCAATAAGAACTTCATATAGGGAGAAAAAAATTTTCAACTATTATTCATAGTTGTTAAATTTTCATTTGAAATTTATGTTTGAAAAATTTAAAAATTAAATTAAATTTACTAAAAATAAATGAAGGGGGTATAAATTTGAATGCCTAACCACTGTTTACTGCTTTTATATAAACTAAAAATGCAGAAGAGATAAACAAATCCGACAGATGTGGCATTGCCACGTTTGCTCGGTTTTGATCTGGCTTAAGGGCCATCGGCCTCTCTACCATTATTCCATGAAGAGTACATTGAAAATTTGGATACGTGGGTATTTAAAATATTAAGATTATCTGTAAAATTATTTAAATATTTTTTTTGATAAATTTTCTTTACAGCATTTTATTTTGTTATTGTTTCCATTTTTTGTTTTCTGATTACTAAAATTGATCTTTGTTGTAATTTATTTAAAATATTTAAATCATTTTATTATCATTCATGTCATTTTATAATTATGATTTTTCACAATCGCTAATAGTGAGTTTGAAATTGTATTTTTATGAATTTCTATAATTTTCTCTGTAGTGATCACTGATCACATCAAGCAAAAATAAAACAAATAAATTGGTCCACAGGGAGTAGTGCATTACTACCTGTATTCTATTGCGGCATCATTAAGTAGCATTACCAATAAATTCCAGCTCCATTGGTTCGCCTTTATTGCACTCAAACTGTTTCTTCTGCCCTTTTCTTCATTTTCACCAAATTATCTAGTCATTCGAAGGTGCACACAAAACAAAGCCACCGAACTCCCCCTTTGCAAAATAAAAAAACTGATACCACCGAAATCAGAGCTGTTCATCAAATGGCTTCAAGGACCAAGTTTCCTTATATAAGGCTGAGAGACGAAGGTTGGCCTGACAAAGCTGAAGAAGGAGTAGCATACAGAAAGACGGGGAAGCGGATAAAGCTGAGGAGGTTGAAGCGGCTGAAGCTTCGGATTCAAGGCTTGAGGAGGTTCCTGAGAAGGAGAAGCAGGTTGTTGACAAGAGTAAAAGTTTCATGGGTCACGGCCTTGAGGAGGTTGAAGAGTGGGCAGACTCACATGAACGATCTTTTTGGAGGGAACTTTCTGGTTATGCAGGTAAACCCTACTCCTTTCAGATGTGGTGACATGACTCTTGGCCGGCAAGGCTACAAAAGTTTATGAAAAGTGTATATTAGCTTGCATTCTCAAAATAAATTAAAATTTTAATTTTATGTTCAGTTATTTTATTTAATTAAAATTTAATTTAAAATTTTAAAAAATTATCTTATTAAATATTGATATTTATATTTAAAAAGTTATTATATTAAAATATATAATTGGTTTTCAAATTTAGATATCAGTATTTAATAAGATGAGATTTTAATTTGTAGATATAAATTGAGATTCTGATTATTTTTAGAAATCGAGACTAATACATACTAATTTCTTAAATATAAATATAGAGATATATATATATATATATATAGATGATAGTGTGTATCAATTTTAATTCTAAAAAAAATTAGAGTATTAATTTATATTTAAAAATTAAAATTTTAATTTAAAA